TGTGACGGGCGATGCTGTGTCCTTATGTTTCTTTCTATCACCGCATCGGCGCTGATGATGTCGTGAACAGTGTACAATTCACTGTTGTTGTTCTGCTTCTTGTTGTTGTTGCTGTGGTTGATGATGGTGACTGTCGCCATTGCAATCATCACTACGGCATTCCCAATCATCATCATCATCATTATCATACTCATTATCATCATCATCTTTATCATCGCCAGCATCATCATACTCATCATCACCACCACCATCACCATCATACTAACAATAACAAGCACAATAATCATGCTTACTACTGTTATTCTGCATGTTGTTGTTATTGTTGTTGTTATTATTACGTACTATCATTACTATTAATACTATTCTTCTTAATATTATTTATATTGTTATTGATTCTATTATTAGTATTATCATCATCATCATCATCATCTTCATCATTGTCATCGTCATCTTCATCATCATCATCATCGTCATCATCGTCATCATCGTCATCATCTTCATCATCATCATCATCATTACCATCATCTTCATCATCACCATCATCATCATCACCATCGTCATCATCATGGTCGTCATCATCATCACCACCATCATCATCAGCAGCGCCAGCATCGTTATCGTCACCAGTGCAGACGGCACTAGCAACCACAAGAGCGGCAACACTAATAATCATGATGAGCATAAACGTACTAATCTGGACACTTGCCATAGTGGCAGCGGGAGCCTCTAATCTTTCGGTAGCAATACGTTAGGCTTTATCATCGAGTGCTCTACACGCTAGACCTCACCAGAAACAACGCGGCACCCCAGATCCAGATCCCACAGACGTTTACCAAATCCATGGGCAACTAAATGCCAAGCAGTCAAAAAAGCCCACCATCGAACGTAAAATCCTAAAGCTGAGCCAGGCAATGAGGTGAAGTTCCCGCCGACGAAACTGAACTTCTTCGAGCTGCTGCGCCTTGAAACCAACATGTTCCACTAAAATTGTATCATGCCCGGGCCCAAAGCTGGTGCAGATGGATAGGGAGAGGCAGGGGGTAGACGTAGAGGAAGCGGAAGCCCTCTTTGTCAACATGAGCTTTCCAAGAAACTTGCCAGGAGAGAGTCTTCTCAAGAGTTTCTTGTGGCTTTGCCGAGCCTTTCTGAGGGCTGCGTGCAGTTTTGGGCCTCTAGGGCTTTCAACGACAACTTCAGTGACTGAGTCTCGGATTTTTTTGGGGGGGGTTCCGGGCTGCAGCCGAGGCGATCCTCCCTGGGAGATCCCCAGTTCTCAGACGTGTGGCTCACCTTGATCTTGGAAGCTCTTCGGTTTAGGGGTTCAGGGGGGTATCATGAAGTCGCTTCCCGGTTTTGGGGCTCAGTAGTTCAGAGTTGAGGGCTTGAGTTAGTGCGACCTCCGAAGCCGGAAAACAGGGGTCTCCTTATCGAGATTGTCCTTTTTGCCAGGCGGGTTCCATGTTAGTTTGGGGGTGTACTGTAGTGCTAGTCCGAAAGCTGGCACTTGGGGGTTTTTGACAGTGTGTTTCACCCAAAGCTCCAAAAAGCGCAAGGTTGAACCCTGGAACCCAGAGCCCAGAACCCAAAACCTTACTGTATGACGTACCCAGGAGCCTCGCGCCCCGAGATAGTCGGAGCTTCTGAGATGTCTTGAAGCATTAAAGGGGCATCCTAAGGGTTATATGTGAGGGTCTCTGGATTGCGAGTTTGGGGTGCCTTTAGGGTTTCGAGCTGTTCAACGGAGAACCTGAATGCTGCTGTTGCCCAAAAGCTAAGCCGAACCCACCAACCAGAAACTGACAGGACAACGAATCGTGTAATCAAGGCCAACCTTTAAGTAGGTGTTCTAGGCCAAGATCCCGATTTTTTTGCTTTTCATTTTGTCCTTAAAGTCTCTGTGCCGTTTGGCACAGGATTTCCTTTGTGCATAAGTACAGCTTTCTCTTATTGGCACTTCTTTTTGCTGTCCTGTTGGACTGCCGTTGTCGATTCATAGTTGTCAGCGTTCATTGCGAAGTTGGCTTGTGTGCTTGTTCTTTAGTCTTAGGGCCACCGATAGTATTATTCTCGTCTTTAAGTCTTTTGGCCATCGATGGCCATCGTACGGATGCCCAACATGGTCGTTGAACCATTCTGACTCTCTACTGTTGCTCCTCTTTCCGCCCGCAGTTTCCGCTGACGCCGAGGTGGCTCGTGCCAGCAGCTCCGCATTTTCACCAGAAAGCTTTGGGCCTGGACCGCATGAGCCTTGGAGTCATATATGCAGCCTTGGAACACTCTTCCGATGATGATGGCGAGTACAAGAAAAGTGGCTTGATCCCCTTGCCTACCCAAAACCAGAGTCCCAGCCTAGGGGTCTGATCAATCGGCAGGTAGTCGCGTGGACCTCTCCTCTAGCTCACGAAACCAGCGTTCTTAAGTCCTGACCCTCACTGAGAAGTGTGTGGTGGGCCGAGGAAGGAAGTCGAGGCACCGCTGAGCATCCAAAAGCACTTGAGGCCGTGATTCGGCGGAACGGTATCTACGGGGCCGGTGGCCTGTGTTCTAAATTGGTACTGTGATTTGTTCAGGCGATCTACGCTGTGCACCGAAGCACGATAGTCTGGTATGCGGTCATATTTGCCTTTGCCCTGTGCCGCGATGTCGAATAACGAATGTTGTGTGGCAAACAACATCTGTCAGTAATCTACAGGCTGCAGTAATGCTAAAGCAAGCCAGAAGAGTAATGCTCTTGTGATACCAAGAGTACTAGCAGCAGTAACGAGCAAAAAAGAAGGACACGATTGAACGTGTTTGTATAACTATGTTTACGTATGTCCATGTTTGTGTATTTACAAGTATACTCATGAGTGCATGCTTGCCATTGTATAGTACTTATGCGGAAGATTGCGGAAGGAATGGAATGCTGCATATACGGAGAATGACATGATGTTTCTTTGTCTGTGTGCGTATGTATATATATATATATGTCTTAAATGGACACTTAGGTGTGTCATGTGTCCTACCTATAGTCCCTTCACTTCGCTGGAGACGAAATCCCTGAACCCACAAACCCCAAAACCCCAAAGCCCCTTATAGAACTCTAAAAGGCTTTCGAAGTTTTTCAGGGTTCGGGTTTTCGGTGTTCGGGTTTACGGGACTAGCTGGGCTGTTCGGCTGTCAAGACATCATGGCAGTGAGATGCGCGAGCAGGGTCTCTTCGGGCCCAATTGCGGAAACTACTTCTGTTATTTGGTGCACTGAAGAGCCACTGAAAGGACAATTCTGAAGGTGGGTGAGTTGAGCATGTCTCAGCAACATCCTGGCAGCAAGTATTCGGACACAGAGGATGATCATCGTCCGGAGCTGCATCAGCATGTTCCGCATTGGCAGCATCGTCAGCACCATGAGAAGAAACGGCACACCGGCATCGCCAGCTTTACGTAGCACTCTTGCCTTACGTTTCTGGCAAATACACCCCACTCAAACGTCTCGTTCTTGGGACTCTACGGTACCGACTCACCGACAAGATCATACCAAGAGCCCAAGCGACTCAAACCAGCATTCCCCAAACGCCAAACCCCCAAAGCTGAGCCCTGAAAGGCCCCAGCATCCTAAGCCTGAAAGCTCTAAGGTACCAGCTCGTCGGGTTCCGCTGGTTGGCCACGCTTGCACGGAACGGCCTCGGAGCGGTGCTGGCCGATGACATGGGACCCTGCTTCTGTTGTGCCTCCAGCCTTTCACTTGGGCTTTCATGTTCCTCAAGTCATGCTTGTGCTCTGAAAGGCAATAACGGCAGCCAGCAGCAGCAGCAACAAAAAAACACTGACGACGGCGACGACGTCGATAACGAGGCCGTAGACAAGGACGAGGACAAGCACGACCATAATGTTCGCAACAGCAGCAGCAGCAGCAGCAGCAGCAGCAGGAGCAAGAGGATGCTGCAGTGTGTGTGTGTGTGTGTCCTGTTTCCTACTTTGGATCGGGATACAGCTTCCACTCCCTGCACAGATGCCACCAACGAGTGTCGGCATTTTGTACACGGAAATGTTCTGAAGTTGAAGCATAAAGTGAAGCAATGTTGGCAGATGTAAGTTTCACACTCGACTCCGGTTCATCCGGAGGACTCGGCAAAACTCTGCAATGCATCGCCATGCTGACCTACCTCAAGGCCATGCTCCGCCGATGTTAATCCCAAACCCTACGTGCTGAAAACCCCAAGCGCACCACCCCGAAGCCCTAATCTCTCTGAAACCCTGAACCCTAAACTGCTGACCCTAAACCCTCTCTGAAGCCTTAAACCCTAAATTCGAAAATCCTACGCCCCAGAATCCTGAGCCGTGACAGTTTCCGCAGTTTCCTTGACAGGAGCAGGACCTGCTCTACGATGAGAGAGGGAGCCCACGGCCGGCTCCGAGGGGCTATTTCGGGGTTTTTTAGGGTTTTAGGGGTAGTTTATAGGGGGTTTTTGGATGCTTTTGGGTGGGTTTAGATTTAGAAATGTGTTGGGTTTATCTTTGTGGAAAGTCTTAGATTTCGGGGTTTAGGGTTGCTCAGGGGTTCATCCATAACCTTTGCAGCCTCTGGTCGGAAGAGCAAAGTAGGTAAGGGAAGCTGGCCACGTAGATCCGCAACTTCCCCTAAACTCGAATCCCTGACCCCATAACCCTACATCCTAAACCCTACCAAGCTATGCTCGTTAACCCGATGGGTGCCAGGGTTCTTCTGTTTGGGAGTTGAGCTTGGAGCTTCGGGGGTCAGTGGCTCTCTGGATCAGGCAGCACAGTGTAACGGTAACGGCCAGGGGTTATGTTTTTTTTTGGAGGTTCCGGCTGCTGTGCGTGAGAAGCACATCATAGATCAATTGCTTGTTGTATACACATCTACATATATATATATAACTACACACATGTGTGTGTATGTATGTATGTATGTATGTATGTATGTATGTATGTATGTATGTATGAGGCTCTCTGGCTCTGGCCTACGCGCAGTTGTGCGGTAGCGTACGCTTGCTTGCCATGGTTGGTGTGAGGGAATCCTTTCTGCCTGCCTGGACTGCATGTCTGTTGTATTTCATTGTGGCGACGTGGCCGGTGACAACAATCCCAGCGAAGGGGGATGATTCCTTTGCTACTGCAGATTTTCCGAATGCTGGAACCTCCACTCTGCTCCAGCATGATGGGTGGCATACGAGCACACCACTTCTGCAAGGCATTCATTTGGAAGGGCTGCAGAGGCCTTTGCCATTGTCACATGAGCTTGTGTACTCTCTCAAGATGCGTGATCAGAGGCATAGCGTGAGTTGTACTGTAGAGGGGGTTGCGATGCAGCCTGACTCTCAACTGCAGACCACTTACCTACAGCTACCTGACGTCGGCCCACAGAAGCAAGTTTTTCCCGTTAGCCCACAGGTGTTCCTAGGTTCACAGCTCCCAGCATGCCGTGAGGAGTTAAACACGCGATCTCTGGCGCATCACATTGAGCCTGCAACTTCCGCTTGTAAGACTCATAGGGCCCTGAGCGCTGCCGTGTGTAACGAGATGAACGCCCTGGGCGATGGGGCACAGGGACAGGCCAGCAGCTCTTACTCTTGCTTAGTTGACGCAGTCATGATCCGTAGGAGGATGTGCAACTGTGATAATAATGGTGCCTCCATTGGGATGCAGGTGTATACCGCCCCTGGAAGCCGTTGTCGCAGGTGGGCCCTCATTATACTTGCCCGCAAGCAGACACAGACTGGAACGCAGGTGGGAACCGCTCCAGGTCTGATGGACATGTCGGGCTGTCGATCCGCACAGACGCGCCAGTTGCTCAACCCGTGCAGATGCCACTGTGGATCCGGCGATGTCACTCTACCAGCGCACCTAAGGTGGGGCTTTAGCTTGTAACGGCAAAGGCATCCGAACTTCTTGCTCTCTCGGGGTTGTAGGGTAGAGCGTGCTTGTGTCGAAATGCAGACTGGACTGCAGGTGAGAACCGCTCCAGGACTGTACCGGGCACTGCGGTTGCTGAGCACTCAGATAAGTGCCCGACAACCTTGCCAGCAGCCACTCTGTGCCCAACATCAGCCGCAGGCCCAATCAAGGCGTGCTCTTCATGGACCTGTCGTGGACCGAGTCTCTAAACAGGAGCGGGGTCCTGCAGTGCTGAAATCTGCACCCATTTGGCCACGTGACGCCGGTTACAGGCTCTCAGGGTTGAGCTTCTTAGCGTGTGCTAGTTGGAGTAGAAGCGCTTGTCTGCACAGTTTTTTCCATGCCTGTAACCCTCACCTTCCACCTCTGCTCCCCAGAAGCCAAGAATTTTTCCTGATAATGGTCAGTGCGTCTGCGAAAGCTCGCTCGGGGGCCAGACCTGGGCGCCGAGAGCGAAGAGAAGCATGGACAAGAGCGAATGCAGAGGAGCAACAGGATGTGGCAGAGCAGCCACAGCCTGAAAACGCGGAGACGTGGTGGAATCAACAGTGGAGAGGCCAATGGTGGGGAGACCAATGGTGGGAAGACCAAGGGTGGACGGAGACGGGTCCAGGGCTCTCAATGGCTTCCTCCAGCAGCTCGCCGGCGTCCCTGCCACTTACGTCCATACAGCCTCTGGTGGAGGAGTCTGCCACTCTTGACGGGGGTGCTAGTGAAGAGGGGTTGGTTGAAGATGGTGCTACAGAGCAAGCCTCGCAGTGGGAACATGAAGACCACGCAGAGCCTCACCCTGCGCCTGGAACTGACAGAGATGACGTTTCTGTCTCCTGCAGCGGAGCTGGGATTGGACGCTGGGACTCATTGCGGGACAGCACGAGGACCTGCCATGGAACCAGTAGGACCTCTTGAGCCCAAACCTGGCTCTACTGAGGCTATCGCCGTTGACGTGGATGTACCTGCCTCTTCGTCCACAGTCGTCTCGAGTCCCGAGATGCTTCCCGTCGGCCGCCCTCCTACGCCACCACGCGCACGACGGAAGCGCAGGCGTAGGCCATCTTCCTCCAGCTCCGAACTTAGACCAGATGACGAAGGAGGGAGATACGAGGACCTCGAGAACTACAACAGACGTGAGGATGAGTCCACCTTAGACTATCATCGGAGGTGCCTTGCCCAGGCGATTGCATACGCAGCGGCACGAGGCATGCACAAAAAGAGTGATTTCGAGTGCTTTGTGCCGTTGATATGCATGCTTCCGCACCACCTTGCAGGGATGTGCATGTTGGCGTGTCTCCTCTATGCCACTAAATGTAAACCACGCCCTTGGTGGATTGTGGTGAGGCCTCTGCCTGGTCATTTTGTACGCCGAAACCTCAGTACCGGGCGCTCTTGTTGCAGGCAGAGCATGAAGAAGTATTACTCCAAGCCTCGCGCGCCTCCAGGCCCCTCGCAGAAGGAAGGCCAACAAGTTACGCGCAGGCCTGGCAGTGTGCTGCCAACAGATGTGTGCTACCATACAATACACCATGTTAGAGCCAGCTGGGGTCCCAAGTCCCCAGGTAGACCATACATCGCTCTTCTTCTCATTCTCCTTTGTATTCTTCCATCGTATGGGGAGGGCATGTATGTTGCTACAGAGCCGAGGGTTGCTACCGAAGCCGCGGCGGTAGCTGGAGCACAGAATCAGGTTCTCCAGAGGGCTTCACACATAAATGCGAAGCTTAGCGGCGCTTACGATACTAATCAGCTGCCCAATTTCAGTCGAGCTCGCAAGCGAGCCTTTCGCCGTGCCATTGGCAGGGCGGAGCAACACGGATCTACACAATATCGAGGTCGAATCCTTACTCTTCAGCAGCTGAATCTGCAGAGACGTGGGACTGAGCCGGGTGCTAGGAACCCGCGCCCCACTGCCGTCAGGCAAACTGCGAGTGCGAGCGGCCCCCAGCTTCTCAGTTGGAACGTGGGCGGGCTCACAACAGCCATACTCGATGAGTTGATGCTGTGGCTGGACCAGCCTGCAAATAGTGGCATCGCCTTTGTTCTGTTACAAGAGACGCGATGGACTTACACGGCCGAGTGGTGCACTGGCAAGTGGAGTATAGTGCATTCGGGATGTAAAAGCCATAAGGGTGGAGGTGTCATGATCTTAGTTGCCCGGGAGGTTTGTGGACCCTCAGAGATTCGATTTCATGAAGTGCTCAAAGGTCGAGTGCTACATGCCAGACTCCCGTTTGGCACTCAGGGAAGACATCTTGACCTGATAAACGTCTATCAGCATCCTTGGGATTTCTGTGCGCCGCAGGAGGCCCTTGTTGAGCGCAGGCGTCGGGTCCTTGATGCTGTGACCGCTACCCTCCATGGAATACCGAGACGCAATCTCTGCGTCTGCGGAGGCGACTGGAACACCCAGCTTCTCCCACATCCTGGGTTGGTGGGTGACTGTACCACCCTGCCGAAAGGAGGCACACAAGTCGCAGCTGATGCCGCTGCGCTTAATGACTTTATGCGGCTCAACCAGCTTGTTGCGCTTAATACATGGACAGGTCGAAGGCGTGAGGCGTACACCTACGAGCATAATGGCCGGAGGACCCAGATTGATTATGTCATTGCTCGTCGGCAAGATGCCTCGCCTCATCATCGCCGCTTTCAGCCCGTGAAGGACTTTCCCATCACTGCCTGGAGACTGTCGGGACTCCATCGCCCGGTTCTCGGTGCGCTGACGGTGCCTACTGGGCCTACGCAGCACAAGAAGTGCGGTGCCGCACCTGCTACCTGTGATGTGAATCGTCTTCGGCAGGAGGCGGCTTGCAATTCGGAAACATACCGAGTTTTTCAGCAGGTGCTGAATGTTCGGATGGCGCTGCTGCCGAGGCTCGATATGGATGCTATAAACCAGACCCTGCAACATGTTAGTCTGTCCTTCTTTCCACCCAAAAGTAAACAAGTTGCCATTCCTGCGAGGGAGACGGCGGAAGTCAGGGAGGTGGTTCAAACGAGATGGCAACACTATCATGCTGCAAAGGCTGCGAAGATTGCTACTGCCAGAAATGTGCTAAGGGGATGGTTTCATGTCTCGAGGTTCCGAACACTCCGAAAAGCGGCTAATCGCGCGTCGCGCGATGCGCGCAGACAGCAGTACGAGGTCCTCCTGCAGCAAGCTGAGGCTTGCGCCGCATCTCATGATCAACATGGACTATATCAGGTTGTCCGTGCTCTCGCGCCTAAGCAGTCCTACAAAAAGGTGCAAATCTACGGGCCCAATGGACAGATGCTTAACATGGAGGAGGAAGCACGCGCACTACATGATCATTTCCGAATGGTGTTCCAGGGGGGTGGGGGTGTCGATAGGGTCGTAGGTGAGAAGGGTGTGACATCCTTTTCGCGGGAGGAGCTGTGTGCAGCCTTCGCCCGAATACCATCATGGAAGGCCACTCCCAAACACATGGCACCGGGAATGGTGTGGAAGGCCGCATGTGAGGGGCTGGCGGACGTTGTGGGACGAGAATTGCCAAACATGTGGCAGGGGACCCATCCCTGGGTTCCGCAGTCCTGGCGAGATGGTTGGCTCAAGTTGTTGGGTAAACCGGCCAAGCCTGGCAGACGGCCAGAGGACTTTCGCCCAATATGCCTACAAGATCCCGTCGGTAAGGAAGTGCTTAGATTGCTGGCGGCAAGAGTTAAACCTGCCATTGTTGCTTACGCAGAGGCCTGCCCGCAGCATGCCTATCTGCCGGGAAGGAGCACTCAAGGCGCCCTGTTGTGGATATTTGGTAGGTGCAGGCAGATCCGGGATAAAGCACAGGCTGCACGATATGATATCTACAGCAAGCGCGCCGGTTGCTCCGTGAAGGCGTACTCGGGGGGATTTGTTTTATCATTAGACCTTACGAGTGCTTTCGACTTGGTCCCCCGTGATGCAATCCAGGCCTCGCTGCGTGAAGCGGGACTCCAGCCTGAGGACGTTGCACTCATTATGCACTGGTTGTGCGAGTCCACGTACCATCTAGAACATGGTCACATTCGCTTTAGTCTTGCTACTGACAGAGGAGTTCGACAAGGATGTGTCCTGAGTCCCCTCTTGTGGACGTGTTTTAGCTGTTACGTCTTACGCCGGATGCCTGCGGAAGTACCCGTGCAGGATCAGCAAGTCTACGCGGACGATTTCGTAATGAGTAAGACCTTTGACACCAGAGCGGATTTTCTGGCGGCTCTCCAGTCCATTAGTGTGTACTTCCGCACCCTTCGCAGTTTCGGTCTCCGGATCAATCTTGGCAAGACTGCCCTTTTGATCAGAATGGCACATCAAACCGGTCAAGCACTCCTTAAAAAGCACATCACCTCCAATCACAAAGGTGACTTCCTTGTGTTGCCAGGTCCCACCCCAGAGTATGTACCTGTGAAGCAAGAACACTCATATCTGGGATGCGTTATCTCGCTGTATGATTTCGAGGGGCTGACGGCTAAACGGCGGTTGGACGTTGCCAAGAGTAATTTTTCCAGACTCCGACGGGTCCTTACGTCCACTAGATGTCTGAAGCTTGCCAGAAGGGTCCGGGTTTGGTCCACATGTGTGTGGACATCACTCACATATGGGATCAACTGTTGTGGACTCACGGAGAGGTGGTTGATTAAGTTTGCACGGCTTGCTACACAGCAGCTGCGCACGATCTCTAGGATGCCACGGCACATCACTCATGTTAGTAATCGGGATCTGTATGCCAGCCTCAAAGTCGGGGACCCCTATGAAGTGCTCACCAAACAGCACCACACTTTCTTGGCAAGCTTGGCCAATCGGCAAGCTGCGCTCAGCAGTGAGGACATCATGCAATCTTCGCTCATTACTGAACAGCTCTTCTTTGTGGCGAAGCTTTTCGCATCAGTTACTCAGCGCTCATCCATCCGTAGGTTGGAGGACACCCCAGGGGTTGCCTGCCCGGTGTGCGGAGTATACTTCGCTGATACCGCATCCATGAGAGTGCATTGGGCTAGTGCGCACCAAGATGTCCAGCGCGCGGAACCACTAGATGTCTCTGCAATCAGAAGAGAGGACATTTCGGTTAATGGTATGCCCGTTTGTAGAGGATGTGGACGGAAATTTGCCAAGTGGCAGAACCTGCTGCAGCACGTCCAAAATCGAAGGTGTGAGGGCTTCTCTGGGCTTGTGAAGCAAGCAGATGCAAAGCCTGAGGTAGTGCCTGCGATCAAGAACAAGGAAATTATTGGCGCACTGTTGAGGGGAGGAGCCAGACAGTTTGAGCGTGACTTGAAAGCACAGGATGCCGCGCGGAAACAGTGGCTCGAACACTGCTGCATATGTCGACAATGGGTTGCCAATCCGAAACACATCAAACAACACATTCGAAAATCCCATAATGCACTCCTTACAAAGTGGGAAGCACAGTTGAGTGAAGACTGCCTGCAGCTGGTGTCGACGCTGGCGGGCCAGCAGACTTGTCCGTACTGCGCTGCTGCCTTCTCTAAGGCCACCTATCTCAAGCGACACGTTGTCAACTGCCCAGTACTTTTCCAAGCTGCCCTCGTGTGCAGGGCGCATGGCGATGGCGACGGAGATGGAGATCGCCTCTCTCTTCGGGGCTCAACTGCCAGTAGTCAAAAGGCAGGCGGAGGAGAAGCTACTGCCGGCTCGCAGCGACGGGACCAGGGAGGAGCTTGTGCAGCACCCGAAGTGGCCAAAGTCCAACGCCAAAGGAAACAAAGGGAAGGGCAAAGGCAAGGGGCAGAAAGGAGGGAACAAAGCCCAGGGATCCAGTCAGGGCGCGACGCTCACACAGGAGCAGATCATGGAGGCCATCAGGCTTCTCACACAGTTGGCCTTACGCCACGAAGACAACATCAACATCTTACGCCAGGATCGAGCTTTCCTGCTGCTGATGAAGACCTCCGGCCCGGAGAGCATGGTGAATGCACTGTTTGGAATCTCCCAGCAGTGGAAGCAGCATCGCGAGGAGGGGAAGACGGAGGCGCCGCTCCGCATTGCTCTGCTAAAGTGTCTCATCTTGGAATTGAAGACGAGAGCTCAGCAGATCATCGAGTCCAAGGAGAAAGCTCAGACAGCGGCCAAAATGGGATGGCTGCAGTTGTCCAAGGATCGCGAGCCCTGTTGGCTCCCCCTGGTCTGGGACTCGGCCAATCAAGTGGACAAGCCGGTTCAGGACCTCGGCCCGCTACCGCACTCCGATGCGATGAGAGCCCTGGACACCGTCATGAGCGGAGCGGATGGCATGATCATCCAACGATTTCATTCGACGCGACCGCTGGCTCAGGACCCGCAGGGAGCAATGATGGCGTTCCTCATGGAGGTTTCCAACAGGGGCGGCGAGGCGCAGGAGGTGTACAGCGCGATCAGCACCCTGTGCCACTCCGCACTCTTCTATGTCATCGGGGCGAGAATCCGCGTGGACACGGCGAAGCGCACACCCTTGGCCAATCGTGTGCAAGAGATCTTGAACATGTGCTCGCCTTACGACTCTATAACACAAACAACGTATGCTACCAAAATTCCCTTATTTTGGCCCTTCTTTGGTCACTGCTGTCTTGTGATGTGAGTCAGGCTGCAGGGGGGCTATGCTTCGGTGTAGAAGGCTCGCATGCTGATCTCATTTGCTCGCTGTTGGCGCTGACTAATGGACACCTGCAGGATCTGCCGTCCTGGCGTCGCCTCCTGCAAGGATGGCGGCAACCATTCAGACAGCATGACGTATGTGAGTTTGCAGGGCATATCCTGAGACAGCTTAAACTGCACCACATGGAAGGATTTTGGCTAGCTCGACGGGCGGACCCGGATGTGCGAATGGTTGATTTCGGCGAATTGTGGCAACCGATTCCCTTGCACATACCTCCAGAAGCACAGAATCTGCAGGACTGCCTGCAGCACTGGCATAGCCAGTCCACGATACAGGCTCTAGACCGGGGGGTGTCGTTGGCTCTCTTTCAGCTGGTCAGGTTTCGTAGGGATACGGAGGGAGTCATTCGCAAGAATTGCCAGGCACTGGACATGCTGCCACACGCACTGCTGCCAGTGCAAGGTGAGGGTCTCGATATTACCTGGCATGCCTATCACCTCAGTGCCTGCATCTTTCACGTGGGCTTGACGCCCGACTCAGGCCACTATAGGGCTTTTCTGATGGGGCACGCTGCCTCGGGGGTGAGGGGTAGCACAGAGGATCTGGGCACTTGCGAAGTTGACGGTGATGATGGTGTTACCACTCACCAATATGTTACCGATGATAATCAACAAGCCATTCGCGCCACTCCTGCACTGCATAGGGATCTCGAGCAGAACTCTTATCTGTTGTTCTACACTCGCAGTGCTGCGTGATCCTGAGGGGTAGGGGCATCTCAAGGACCACTGGGTCACCTGAACATTCCTGCAGAGGTATCTGGGCGATGTTGGTGGCACCACTCCCCAGTTTTTCCTCACTTTTGATCCGTGATTGTTCCCGTGCTGTGCGAGATTGCATAGCCTATGTTAGGATTTTTTGGGTAAGCTCTCCGCCTGCTTGGCAGTCCGCTGCGAGGCGGATGCCACCTCTAGAGTGGCCGGGCCACATGAGCCTGATCATCGCCTGCCGTCATTGATGGTGCGTCTGCAAAGTGCAAAA